TCTGTCAGCTGGTTGCTGTGTGTGTGAAGTGTGTATCAGTGTGTGTTCAGCCTGTGTGTGTGTTCAGTGTGTGTCTCTGATCTGGTTCCTGCGCGCGTTCTCAATGAGTGCCTGCGTGTCGACGGTTCTCTCGAAGAACCGAACGACGGCCGGCTCGTTCAGCAGAGATGCCAGAATCTGTTCAAAAGAAAAGCTCCAGTCCTCGCCCCCAGCGGGGGGGTCACCCGGTGTATCCACAGGTGTGTCGAGGGCGGAGCTGCTGGTGCCTGTGGGGCTGCTGGTGGCGGAGGAGGTGGGGGAGGTGGGAGAGGGGGGGCTGGTGTCTGAGGGGCTGGAGTCAGGATCAGGCGGGGGAGATTTAGGGGAACTGTCGCCCCCTGTGGGGGAACAGGGGTCAGGGGTTAGTGGTGTAGGGGACTGATTGGGGTCAGGGGTAGTTTGGGGGGTAGGCTGGGGTGACTTTGTCGGGCTGGCCTCCTGCAGTCTCCGCCCCGCCTCCTCCATGCGCAGCAGCAGACTTGTTACCCGGGCAACAGCGCGGTACAGACTCTCCTCCTCATCATCACCGTGGAAAACACTGTACAGCGTCTTAGACAGTCGGACAAACTGGGTCTGCAACACACACACACATTTTCTTGATTGTTGCATATATTCTTAAATTCACCTTTAAAGGTATTTTCATACGACATAATAGCCACATATTATATCTCAAAACATTCAGAACAATCTCAGCTCTCTGTAATGAGGCCCTTTTGACCTGGAGCACCGCGTACAGAGATAATTCAGCCCTAAAGCTGAAAAAATGTAGTCCGGTTTTAGAAATTCTTAATATCTCTTGTGAAAACAGCTTTGCTGATGTGGACAAACTGCTTTGGTGCTTGAAATGTGTTTACCAAAGTCTCAGGATCACTAAAGTAGCAGAATGTATGAATAAAATATTAGATGTAAATGTTTCCTCATCACTACTTTCCAAAACCGCCGCAACAACTTCAGCAGCTGTAAACTCTCTGCACGCCATTTCACATGAGTCTCCGATGTGGACTGAATGAAGAATGAAGGGTTTCCGGCGTGATGGTCAGTCCTTAGTGATTTCCTGAGCGTTCTTCGGTCAGTTTCACACAGAATGTAGACGGACACTCCAATCCAACAGTTCCACACGGTGAGAGGCAGATGACGTGTATCTCAGCCCCTCTTCATAGGCTCATAACTCCGGATGTGAGTGTCGTATGATCTCGTGATAAGCTGGAATGGAAAGGGCGACTCTACAGATTCAGGAAGTGTTTGAACTGGATTTCTGAGCTGGATCATCACAAAGACACTGTATTGTACACTACTGACGAGGAGCAGCACACAGTATACAGCATACAGAAAATACTGATGTAGTATACAATATACAGTACACAGTATACACTGGTGCACTATGCAGTATACAGTATACAGTACTGTTAGTACAGTAGTGTTAGTCTCCCCTATCTGTTCAGCCTCCCTGGCACCAGCAGTCCTGCTCTGCCCCTTAGTGGTCACACGGTAACTAGCGCCCTTGTTACCTGAGTGATTTAGTCCAAATCAGGGCACATCAGTATGACAGAGACGCACTGTCCCCCCTGCCCTGGGGGTACTCAGGTAAGACAAAGTAAGGGGGGTTCACATTGCAGGTTTTGAGGACAATGTGCGATGAACTGCACAGTCTTTTGTCTTGAATGTTCACACTGTTTTTTTAAACTGTTCCTCTCTGCACGTCTCCCAACAACAGGGTCGTAACCGTCAATCAGCTGTGCTGACAGTGAGTTTGATATTTCACAGTTCAGCTCGTTTGCGGTGTGAAAACACTTTTTTGGATGGCTCAGACTTTTGGATCAATTATAGAAAGTTTAGGCAGGATATCATCACTCGTTAAACAACAGAGGAAGAAAAAGAACCAGAAGAGAAGTAAAAATGAGCCGCAGTAACTTACGGGGAGGAGACCGATATTTAACTGTGATTTGGTCCGACGAAAAGTCAAAAGTCAACAAGAGAAAAAACACAACAAAAGCTAAAACTCACCCCTTATTTTCTCTGAGAATGAGAGAGAGGATATGACAGGATGAGAGAGCAGAGCCACCTGAAGACAAAGAAACTGCAGCAGCAGAATATAAAAGGTAGTTTAGAGGCAACAAAATTAATCTATACATTCATTTTTCTACATTCAAATGGAAAAGGCTGCCCGCTGAACTGACCTCTACAAACCAATCAATGTCCAGAAGAGGGAGACGCAGCCTACGCGGGTGATGACGACAAGACACAGGTGTGTCATGCAGAGTTCTTTAGTTGCTCGATAAACTGCAATTAGAAACCAAAACTAACTGGATCAAACGTAGAGAGTGTAACGAAAACATGAACCTTAGTTCAGACGTTCAGGTGTGAAGATGCACTTATATGCAAATGTGGTGCTCCTATTAAAACAAGATAAACTAAAAAGAAAGCTGCTTTGTGTTTCCACTATGATTTCTGAAATTATACATCTGAGTCTAACTCAGCTACAGCAACCGACACTGAAGACCCGCCCTTCGTTTGATCTGATTGGACAGGACAGATCCCCCTACAGAGTGTCCACACGCCCCTGTACCATCTGTGGAGGAGGAGAAGAATCACTGAATAAGGCTGTTCGTCATGTTGGGGTAGAGCGGAAGAGCCTCACGTCACAGAGGCCTCAATAACAGTAATCACACCCAGCCCCCCCATCAAGGTCATCACAGACTGGGGGCTCTGGACCTGCCAATCTGCTGTCCAGAAGGCGGGCTTCATCTCAGCCTTCGCATCCGTCCATTCACTGCACTTAATGACTCCGACAGAGACTTGGATCTCTCCACAGATCTCGGCGACCCACGACGGACCAGCCGGCCTGCTGCTCACGCGTCTCCTCCTTCAGACACCACGCAGCCGCTCTGCCTTTCCCTGCTGAACGTCATATTGAAGAAACGCTGGAGAACAGTGGAGTTTGCAGAACGGGTGGAGGATTCGAAAGGCAGAGAAAGACTCAAAGAGAGAAAACCCATAACAAATGTACCATCTTTCAGATGCCTATGAAGTCGAGGTCTGCACTCGCGCGGACTCCTGATTTTATAAAATCATTTATAAAATGCCGGCCAACATGAAACATGATAAAATACACAACTGTTCAGAAAATTATTTGAGTTTCTATTAATAATAATCGACATAAATAAGCATTCTGCCAGGAAATGTTGTTCCTTTAGAGCAGGGGTGTCAAACTCAACTACTAAAAGGGCCATATTAAAAAATCTCAACAAATCCGAGAGCGTTTATATTTTAATATGTCAACAGCAAAATATAGCCACTTACAGTGAACCTTCAAATATAATAAATACTTGATATATTTAGGCTTCATGAGCTACAGATTACTATTAAATCTCTTTAAATGTCCCCAGGATGCAGGTCTGTTAAACCTACCTGTGTGTTTGGCCTCCACACCTCACATCTTTTCTTTCTGAAAGTTCATTAATTCTTTGGATCAGTTTCTGAGCTGCGGAGTGTTTATAGTGTTTATGTTGGTTGAACGGCAGCTGGTGTGTTTGGTGATATGACGTGTGCAACTGGGTAGAAAGCTGCTGTCCCATAGATTGTTGTTAGGAGGGCTGTCAGCGGAAATTACGTTGCAGTGCATGCTGGGGATTGTGGTGCTGTTGATTGTGAAATGTAGCACTGTTTAACGCAGAAACCTTTGCTTTATAAGAACTTTTCGGTCACCAAATTACCACCGAGTCTTATTTAGCCCCAATCCACACTGGGACCACACGCACCTCTGCTCACACTGGGGCTGAATCTCAAATGGCTCCCTGCTCCCTACATAGTGCACTAGGTTGTAGTTTAAATACTGGATCCTGCAGCCCAACAGAGCAAAATACAGCTAAGAAACAGTCACTTGGATCTCAGACTCATCCACACTCGATACATGATGCACTGTTTGACTGTAGAAGCTAGAATTTTAAACTTTCATAGCTAGAACACTATTTAGGGAGTACGGAGCCGTTTGGGATTCAGTCTGGGTTTGATGCGACTTCTGACAAACAGAAATTTGAAGCATGTAAAACATTTAATTGACATTTTTTAGACTTTTATACTGCAGTTTTACAGTGAATCATACAGTAAGTACTTCAAACCTGTGATATTAATGATGGAGTTGTTTAGGTTATTGGCCATGTTTTAGCCCTGATAGCTAGCTGACCAGCCTAGTTCTAGTTAAGAACTTAAGATGCCTCTCAGATTAAACAAAAAATGGGTTCTTACTTTGTCAATATACTCTGTAATCCATGTGAGCAGCATGAGAGTCAAAGATTATTCCATTAACAGCACAAGGTTTTTTTTCGTGCCGTGGCGCAGTAATACAGAGTTCAGTTGTTGTGAGGCGGTCATAGGAGTGGTATGTCAATTTTACAATGGCTTTGAACGTGGCTCAGCCAATCAGATTTTAGGACCGGAACTATCCGTTTTGTAATAATAAACAGAGCAGCATAACCACCGGCAGCCAAACGAGTGAGCAGAGAGGCTGCTGTGCGAAGTCCCACCCCCTCTTAGTCCACTTGGGCTCTCTAATTGGTCAGAAGGAGACAGCGTGACACTTCGGTCCACATATCAGGCAAAAGATAGGTAAAACGGAGCGGAAAAGACGAGAGAGAGAGAAATGGTTTAAATGGTGAATAAATGGAGTTTGGTGAAGTTCCTCACAGTGAGTCTGATGACCGTGACTGCCGTGTTATTTCAGCAGAGAGTTGTGTTTGTGATTAGACTGTGTCAGATATTGGAGGTCAGTTCGCCTTGACAGGACTGCGCAGGCGGGAGCAGGAGAAATTATTCCTATTTTCTGTGGAAGTGGGAAGGAAAAAACATTCCCGCACAGACCTCTGCTAGGAAGCATCATTTCCAGCTTTGAAGAAGATCAGCAAGCTTCTTCTTCAGGAACAGAGTCTCCATCAGTGAACACCTCAGTGTGCACAGCTTCACTGCAGTTCACCATCCTTTCTACAGAACCTCTCCTCTCCACAGCTGTGAAACATGGACACTGTGCTGCTGCAGTTTCCAGAAACTGGAACTTCTGCAGACAAAACTGCGGCATTCCAGGAATAACCGACCTCAATGGATCTCACACACTAAAATATTCACAAAGACCAGCTGAACAGGCTGTAATACCACATTAATAAATGATATAATCCCTCAGTCACGTCTCAGCACCGTCAGAGGCTCCGAGCAGCGACGCAGGCAGTGATACGACGCCGTGTGGACCAATCAGTGACCTGCTGCTCCACATGCTGATGTGCTGATGTGTTCATGTGTCTGAAGTGTTCTGCTGCGTTAATGCTGGCGCGTATGATGAACAGAGGATCAGGACTCTTCAGGAGGAGAAATGCGAACGAGTGAGCGCACGTTTACCTGCTTGATCCGGGGAAGATCTTTTATGTTCTCCTCCTTCTTCTGTAACTCGTCCTGCCACTGTTTCAGATACTCCTGCAGATCAACCTTCCCCCGACCTGAGACAGAGAGAGAGAGACAGAGAGAGAGAGACACAGAGAGAGGTTAATATAAAGAAGGTGTTCCTCTGTAGACTGTGTTCTGTTTATGTGTGAAATGAAAGCAGTAAAATTTCACCTCTCTCTGGACTTTTCCTGATCACTCCATCATCAGCACTCTCTAAACACAACACACACACAGCATCATCAGCACTGAGTACAATTACACACAAACGCACACACACACACACACACACAGAGCATCATCAGCACTGAGTACAACTACACACACACACACACACACACAGCATCAGCACTGAGTACAACTACACACACACACACACACACAGCATCAGCACTGAGTACAACTACACACACACACACACACACACACACAGCATCAGCACTGAGTACAACTACACACACACACACACACACACACACACACACACACACACTCAGCATCAGCACTGAGTACAACTACACACACACACACACACACACACACACACACACACACACTCAGCATCAGCACTGAGTACAACTACACACACACACACGTAACCTTGATACTCGGGGGGCAGGGGTGTAGGTGGGGGGTGTCTGGGCTAATTGTTTTGAATGTGTGTCCAGTAAAAGAGAGAACTGTGGACCTGAGAGCTGGAATCATGTGTGAATGTTACATTCATAAATAAATTATTTCATTATTGTTTCTTTAATGTAAAATAGAGACTCTGTGAAACGGTACACAGCGCTCTGATCTGTCCGGCCTGCGCGCTGATACTCTGATCAACAGCTCGGTTCAGTTCATCTGACCAACAAACAGGACCTTAAAGCTTCTCTGGCTTTAGGGCAGAAACAGCAACCAGGGAAAAAACACTTAGAATCACCATAGCGACGGAAATCAAAGCTCGAACAGCAAACGCAGTGACTCTCAGTCAACTCTGGTTACTGCTCAGTAATTACCAGATAAGGATTATCATATTAAAATGATGGAACCGTTAAAAAGTGAAAATAAAGCTCTAATTTAAAACACAATAAAGATGCTAAATTAACTGATGTGTGCTGTATCGGTGTTTCTGCCGTCTGCAGGAGACCAGCTACAGCCGAACGCCGTGAAGAACCAGCGAGTTAAATACGCGCAAATTGAACACAGTCGAATTTTCTGGTTGCCATAGCGACTCTGCACGGTTAAAATTATCTGACTATTTTAAAATTAATGTCACTATTGTGGTGATGTTAAAACTGTTCTTTGCAGTTTCACTACTGCAGCGTTCTCAGACTGGGGGGGCGTTTCCCCCTCAACTTCAGTTCAACAGGGCAAAAGACACAATAGCCCACTCATCCCCCACTCCCACCCCCACCCCCACCCCAACATACACACACCTGAACACAGTAAAAGAGAGAGTGAGAGAGAGAGAGAGAGAGAGAGAGAGAGAGAGAGAGACAGAGAGAGACAGAGAGACAGAGAGAGAGAGGAGCGACAGCTAACCAGAAAATCGAGTAGAGACAGAGAGATCTTCAGCTGGAAGAGCAGAAGCAGACGGTCCTAAAGCCTTACAGATCGGAGCTCCTGCTAACAGACACACACAGACTCACAGCATCAGCACCGTAACCTTTACTGCAGTTACAGTAATGACTAATCTATAGAGGAGTTACTGTAATGACTAATCTACAGAGGAATTACCGTAATGATTAATCTATAGAGGAGTTACGGTAATGAGTAACCTATAGCGAAGTTACTGTTATGACTAATCTACAGAGGAGTTACTGTAATGACTGATCTACAGAGGAGTTACTATAATGACTAATCTACAGAGGAATTACTGTAATGATTAATCTATAGAGGAGTTACGGTAATGAGTAACCTATAGCGAAGTTACTGTTATGACTAATCTACAGAGGAGTTACTGTAATGACTGATCTACAGAGGAGTTACTATAATGACTAATCTACAGAGGAATTACTGTAATGATTAATCTATAGAGGAGTTAGGGTAATGAGTAACCTATAGCGAAGTTACTGTTATGACTAATCTACAGAGGAGTTACTGTTATGACTAATCTACAGAGGAGTTACTTTAATGACTGATCTACAGAGGAGTTACTATAATGACTAATCTACAGAGGAATTACTGTAATGATTAATCTATAGAGGAGTTACGGTAATGAGTAACCTATAGCGAAGTTACTGTTATGACTAATCTACAGAGGAGTTACTGTTATGACTGATCTACAGAGGAGTTACTGTTATGACTAATCTACAGAGGAGTTACTGTAATGACTGATCTACAGAGGAGTTACTGTAATGACTGATCTACAGAGGAGTTACTGTAATGACTGATCTACAGAGCGGAGGTGATCATACCTGGCTGCAGATGAAGCTTGAAGAGAAATTTGAGCTTTTCTGTGAAGGAGCCGTTATACAGGATATCTGTAAACAAACACAAACACCATTCTCACAGACGTGTCACTTAAAGGTCAGAGTGAAAATAACAGTTCAGGGTGAAGGTGAAAGGTCAGGTGATGGGTCTGGATGAAGGTGAAGGGTCTGGATGAAGGTAAAAGGTTAGGTGAAGGTGAAAGATCGGGCTGAAAGGTCAGGGTTAAAGGTCATGATTAGGCTCACCCAGGGTGCAGAGGAACTCTTTGAAGTTGACGAGTCCGTCTCTGTTCTCGTCAGCCAGACGGAACGCCGAGCGGGCGAGCGAGTGAGAGTGTGAGTGTGTGTTGGGCGTCCAGGGCAGCAGCAGGTTGAACAGAGCGCTGAACTGAGACTGACCCAGCTGGTACTGATCCAGATACGGCAGGCTGGGGTCGTGATTCTGCAGAGACGGACTGCTGACGGACCAGTAACAGCTGATAAAGTGCTGCCTCTGTAACACACACACACACGCACACACACACACACACACACACACACACACACACACCACAGCGCCAGTGCAATAATTGCATAATTAGGAAATGAACAAAGCCATTCACGAACTGCTCTAGAGAAACGTACCGAGTCAGAACTGTTCACAGTGGTGGTGATAGGAACCAGACGTCCACCTCTAAAAGCTCCCTCACAGAAAGTTCCTACATGAAATGGTTATGAATTCACTGCCTGATGACTGAGACACTGTTTTATGATAGTTTAGAGAACTTAAACTCCATTCATGGTGGAGGGATACATGCAGGGCGCTGTGAGGCAAAATAGTCCCCAAAGAAAACTTATTATTTCAGATTTTCCACTATTTTCCATCATCAACATTCCATATAAACTCAGAAGACTCGTGTAGGTTCACTGGTGGTTCTGGATAGTAAATAAAATGTCTATATCTGTGTTGTAGTCATGGCGACCCCTGGTTCCTATCACCACCACTGTAAAGACATCTGAACCATTTCACACCAAACCACTCTGAATCTCTCTGATTACACCTCACTCACTGAATTATGGGGGAATTTTGAAAAATGGGTGGAGTTTTCCTTAGATTGTAAACACTAGGTGAGTGTGTTCGTGTGCAGATGTGTACAGTGTGTATATTGTGTGTGTGTGTGTGTGTGTTTTACCTTAAAGAGTAAATAGAGCTCCTCCAGCTGAGAAGCACTGAACTTCACATCCTGAGCAACAACTCGCAACTAAACAACAACAACAACAACAACGACAACAACAACACTTTTAATAATTTAAAACACAAATCAGTAAACATAAACAAAGATTAATACAACTCTGCAAAGCTTTACTTCATCAGAACATCCTCAAGTCCAACTGGAGTCTAAAGTGACCATTTAAGACTCATTTATTGTTTTTCTGTAATCTCCCATTAATATGTGATCACCTTAGCCCCGCCTCTAGTGCGTTCTGATTATTGATGATGTCACTGTGTGGGCGGAGAATAATATTTACCAATAATATGACGTCTACATCACAGTAATACATCACAGTAATACATCACAGTACAGAAGGAGAACCAGCACCTATTTCACATTCACACTGAGATTAAACCGAATATCTATTCCAGATTAAATTTTTATAAATGAAATATAGTTTAAAATTAAAACCTATAATAAGAAAAAAGAACTGCTCATAACATTTTACGTCTACAATAATGATACCAGATTATTCTAAAAATGCAGCTTTATTCAGACGTTTTGAATCCTGATAATTACAGTGAGAATCAGTTTCATATTTATTTAAACTGAGGGAGCAGAACATTTCTGTACTCACGACATTCTGCTTGGTGGTCTCCTCGAGGGTCTGAATGACATAGAGTTTATTCCGCTTCCTCATACTCTCCACCTCCTCCCACCGAATGTCCCCGAACCTCTGACACACACACACACACACCCACACACACACACCCACACACACACACACACACACACACACTCACAGAGTCAGAGTGATTTATTTATGTGTTTATGAGTGCTTGTCGTGTTTAAGTGAGCGCGGCAACGGGGAAACGTTGCCATGGTGACAGCATCACCGGTGATACAGATGATGATTAGAGGAGCTTTAGCTGCGCTGACTGTTTACTTAAGGTGGAATTAAGCTCTGCACTCATCTAATATCTCGTTGTGTAACACTGGGCTCACCTGGACTTCAGCAATGAGACGTTCAGCATCTCAATCCCCCCAAAAAACAACATTCGGTTTATTTTACCAAACGCTGAGAAAACTGAACTCCTGATGAAACGCTTTGCTGAAAGTGACGGAACTGTCCGTCACAATAAACATTCAACTACTGAATTGCTGAACTACGAGCAGAAACTAATGCAAATTTACAATAAAGTGATTTATCAACAGGGAGAGAAAGATTCTGTTCAGGTGGAGAAATAAAAGTATGACACCATGGAGGCACATATGGAGTAACTGAGTCATGGATAGGAGGATATGAGATCACTGTACACTGTACACTCCATATTTCACAACACATTTTTGTAATCATAAAAAAAGTTTCTCCTTTCCTCTCGTCTTTTTTCCCCTCTGATGTAGCTCCAGGGCACACAATGACAAATCTGACCTGTTCGGTCTCCATGACGACTTCAGTATGGACTGAATTTCGGACAGTATCTATTCCAGAATAACAGTTCCTACCTTCATAATCTCATCATGAACTCCAGATAAGAAAACAGCATCACACAAACATCCTAACTAGACTAAACCTCCTAAATCCTGTCCTAACTTTAGGATGAACCCCAACAGGGTCTGAACTTCTGTTTAAGGTCCGTTTCTATGGTTTTTAGGCAGCTGAGTCAGCAGCATAGTTCACTACCAGCATAATGAGCTCCATTTATTTCTACTGTAAAACGCTGCTTTCACTGTGAGATGATTTTCTTTTCTAACTCTGCGTTTTAAAGATCTCAGACGCTGCAGACTCGATCTCCACCGCCCCTCTGATCACCTTCGTGTGTTAATGTTGATGATGAAATATTACAGTGATGGTGGTAAATAATGAGGAGACGGAGCTGAACGTGTGTCTGTTTATTAGGAGGAGTAACGTTAGCGTGCTCGGCTAAAGCGTTTGGGAAATGGAGACTGAAACTGGGGAGCGGCGACGCTCTGATAAACAGCAGGGGGCGCTCTCACAGTATTCACTACTCATAGTTTATCACTCTTTAGTTTAGTTTGATCTTTTTTACAAAAACATTTTGATTACGTGTTTATGTTTCAGCTCTGTATAGATTGTCACTTGCTAGGAAAGATAAGATTATAGAAGACAAACTATGATTAAATTCGCTTCTGTAATACAAAGTAGTGAAAAATCTTATTTTGACCTGTGAGATCTCAACTTAGGACTAAAGTTAAGAAGTTTCTGTAAATTCATACATTACTGTGTGCAGTTTGTAAAGTTCGCTGTGACTCTGACAAAATCCCAACCATAAAAGAGTCAAAAAGAGAACAACAGAAAATCCAGTTTGCTATCGTCCATCAAATGTGTGTGTGTGTGTGTGTGTGCTTGTACCTCATAGGCCTCTCTGATGAGGTCACTGATGTCAACGCTCTGAGCTGGTTTATGATTGGCTGGTGCGGATGCCTGCTGTACAGTGGCTGGGAGAGGACTGTCTTTATTAGTCACACTGTCGAAAAACCTGCAGAACAAAATGAGAAAATAGTCATAGACATTTTTTAATAAAACCATATTAAAAAATGTAACGCAAAAATGTGAATGTAAACGTAAATCTGCGCAGCAGATTCGCGCCTCACTCTCTATAGATCATCTCCCATTTACTGTCCTTCACTGAGAACACAGGTAATGATCAAAACTAGACAGCCTATCAGAGTAAAGCGTGTGGGGAGGAGGCGGGGTCTGTGCTATGGACACACCCACACTCTAATGATCAGACTTCTATTCTGAAGAGTTTATAAACTCTTTTTTAAGCTGTTATGATGGTGATAAATAGTGAGTAAATGTTTCGTCACTACAGAGGACCAGAGGAGGGGCTTTAGGGGTCAAAGGTGAAAGGGTGGAGCTTTTTTGGGGTTAGCTAAAGGTCACCTGTTCAGGATGGTGACCGCCTCTGCGTCGTCATGGCAACAGAGCAGGCTGTCCATGTTGTAGTGCAGGACGGCGAGGGCCAGCTGCAGCACGGCTCGGATCCCGTCGAAGAAGAAACAGTCGACCACGTTGACGGCGCTCTCGATGGGCAGCACGCTGATAAACAACGTCAGAAACCACGACAACGAGACGGAGGAGAAGAAAGACATGTCGGTCATGTGATCGGTCAGCGCGGTCAGGTGGTCCCGGATCAGCTCCTCAAACACAGCCTGGTCCACCAGAGCACCTGAAATACACAGTTTACATACAGTTTAGCTGGTCACCCAGAACGTCATAAGGGTTGACCAGCATACCAGTGTCCGAAACACAAGCTGGTAGCTATACTGGACTATGATGGTTTTCGAGCAGGGATTTCAGTCTTTGTCCTCTAAAGGTTTGTCAGTGGAGCTTCAGGTCACTGTAATCTAACCTGTCCTGCGGTCTGTCGAGCTGTTAGCCTCCACGCTAAGCTAGCGCTAGCTCCACAATAAGCTTCACTCTACTATTCGTTACACATGCGACACACACACACACACACACACACCCACACACACACACACACAAACACACACACACACACACACACACACACACACCAATGATTCTGCGGTTGAAGTAATCCGGCAGCATCCTCTCGCACACCGCCACCAACAGCCAGAACGCCTCTTCCTCTTTAGCGTACAGCAGCAGCACTGAGGTCAGAATATTCATCGCCTGCAGAGAGAGAGAGAGAGAGAGAGAGAGAGAGAGAGAGAGAGAGAGAGATTGAGTTAATACTAAGCTAGCAGAAGTAACATAGTAAACAGTGCGCTAAAACTGACATTGAGCAAACTGTACCATTTGGCCAACGCTACGCTAAAGCTGACTGAACCAACGCTGAGCTAACACTGAACTAACGCTCAGCTAACGCTGAGCTAACACTGAACTAACGCTAAGCTAAACTGAGTTAACACTGAGCTAACACTGAGCTAACGCTGAGCTAACGCTGAACTAACGCTCAGCTAACGCTGAGCTAACACTGAGCTAACACTGAACTAACACTGAACTAACACTACAGAGACCACATTCTAAGCTAACATTGAGCTTCGCTGGGGTACCTGGCAGTATCCAATTTTGGGGTTGCGGTGAGCGTAAGCGGTTAGCACTCTGCGCAGGGCAGATATTCCCGTGTCCGTCTGGAACGCCGGGTGTTCCGGGAGAGAACGGTGCAAATCTCGCTCGATCTCATCACACGCCAGAGAGCTGCTGCCCATACACTCGTCCAGCAGCGCCGCGTAATAGCCAGGATGGGTGGCCATGTCATTCACTGCACCTACTCACACACACACACACACACACAGTAATACACAGAAAGACACTGAGGTAACATTATACTAACATTGCGCAAACACTATGGTAACATTTAGATAACACTAAGCTAACAGTGAACTAACAGTGAGCTAACATTGAGCAAACATCGAGCAAACACAGCTGACACTGAGGTAACCCTGAGCTAACAATGAGCTAACGCTGAGCTAATGCTGAGGAAACATTGAGGTAACCTTGAGCTAACACTGAGGTAACCTTGAGCTAATGCTGAGCTAACACTGAGGTAACCCTGAGCTAACACTGAGGTAACCTTGAGCTAAAGCTGAGCTAACACTGAGGTAACCCTGAGCTAACACTGAGGTAACACTTGAGCTAAAGCTGAGCTAACACTGAGGTAACCGTGAGCTAACACTGAGGTAACCCTGAGCTAACACTGAGGTAACCCTGAGCTAACACTGAGATAACATTGAGCTAACGCTGAGGTAACCCTGAGCTAACGCTGAGGTAACCTTGAGCTATCGCTGAGCTAACCTTGAGGTAACGCTGAGCTAACGCTGAGGCAACCTTGAGCTAACGCTGAGGTAACATTGAGGTAACCCTGACCTAACGCTGAGGTAACAATGAGCTAACGCTGAGGTAACACTGAGGTAACATTGAGGTAACCCTGACCTAACGCTGAGGTAACAATGACCTAACGCTGAGGTAACACTGAGGTAACATTGAGGTAACATTGAGGTAACCCTGACCTAACGCTGAGGTAACACTGAGGTAACCCTGACCTAACGCTGAGGTAACAATGAGCTAACGCTGAGGTAACGCTGAGCTAACACTGAGATAACCTTGAGCTAACACTGAGATAACCTTGAGCTAACACTGAGGTAACCCTGATCTAACGCTGAGGTAACGCTGAGGTAACCCTGAGCTAACGCTGAGGTAATACTAGAGCCAGTTTGAGAAGTCTGGCCACTTCCAATTTCCTATGTTATATAAAGAATAACTACAGAAAACTGACGTAACACTAAACTAACACTGAGGTAAGACTAAACTAACACTGACGTAACACTAAACTAACACTGAGGTAACCCTGAAGTAACACTGAGCTGACACAGAGTCTACTGATGTTTAGCGTTAGCCTCGTAGCTCCAGTGGATATCTGCACATTTTGCTGAACTGGTTCTTTGTGTATCTCTAACAGGCCTGACTGTGTAGTTTCTGACAGCGTGTGACTCACTGTTATCTATAAACAGGGACTGAAGTTCATTAGCATAGCTAAACACAGCAGCTCCATCCTGAAGTCTGAACGCTGTCCGTGTTTTTATCCACACAGACTCACAGTACCTGAGAAGAGCATCCACAGTTCTCCACGGAGCGTCTCCGGAACTCCACGCACGACGAGGTCGCGGGTCTTTTTGGTGCAGAACATTCCGCTCCCCCGACCGTATTCGGCAAAGTGGATCTGCCACGACTGCTCCTTCATTCGCTCCTTCAGCTGCCAATCACAGCATTACCATGGCAACAGTTAGTGGTATAGCATCACTGTGCGGCACGAGACTTGAATATGATTCAGTCTTCTGTTCAATTACGTTAATATCTTACTATCAAGCTGATACACTAACGAAGAGCCAATTCAGAGCTATTACTAGGCTAATGTTGAGCTAACACTGCCCTACAACAGCTAAGAGCAAAAACTGCGCTAAAACTGAACTAACACTGGTCTAAAACTTAACTAACACTGATCTAAAACTGAACTAACAGATCTAAAACTGAACTAACACTGGTCTAAAACTGAACTAACACTGAGCTAAAACTGAGCTAAAACTGGACTAAAATTTTGCTAAAGATGAGCTAATGCTGCATTTGACCAAACCTGGAATTTCTCAAAATCAAAGAAAACACCCCACCAACTGGGAATTCCTACTCGGAAAGTCGGTGTGGCAAACTCAACTCTGAATTCAGCGTGTGACGTCAAATCAACAGGGCTGCTCCCACCTACAGCAGTAGTAAAGAACCACCTCTCTACTTTCAGTGAGGCATTCAGTCCGTCAACATTCACCATGAAGTTTCCTTGTTCTGAGAAAGTAAATACACCGTGGAACTTTCCACATCCGAGCCAAACGCAGCATCATACTGAGCTGTTTCTAACACTGAGCTATTAAACTAATATTACACTAACACTGAGCTATTAAACTAATGATATATTAATACTGAGCTATTAAACTAATGATATATTAATACTGAGCTATTAAACTAATGTTATATTAACACTGAGCTATTAAACTAATGTTATATTAACACTGAGCTACTAAACTAATGTTATATTAACACTGAGCTATTAAACTAATATTACACTAACACTGAGCTATTAAACTAATGTTATATTAACACTGAGCTATTAAACTAATGATATATTAACACTGAGCTATTAAACTAATATTACACTAACACTGAGCTATTAAACTAATGTTATATTAACACTGAGCTATTAAACTAATGATATATTAATACTGAGCTACTAAACTAATGTTATATTAACACTGAGCTACTAAACTAATGTTATATTAACACTGAGCTATTAAACTAATGATATATTAATACTGAGCTACTAAACTAATGTTATATTAACACTGAGCTATAAACTAATTTAACTAACACTGAGCTATTAAACTAATATTATAACACTGAGCTATTAAACTAATATACATAACACTGAGCTATTAAACTAATGTATATTAACACTGAGCTATTAAACTAATGATATATTAACACTGAGCTATTAAACTAATGATATATTAACACTGAGCTATTAAACTAATGATATATTAACACTGAGCTATTAAACTAATGATATATTAACACTGAGCTATTAAACTAATGATATATTAATACTGAGCTATTAAACTAATGTTATATTAACACTGAGCTATTAAACTAATGATATATTAATACTGAGCTACTAAACTAATGTTATATTAACACTGAGCTATTAAACTAATGTTATATTAATACTGAGCTATTAAACTAATGTCATATTAACACTGAGCTATTAAACTAATGATATATTAACACTGAGCTATTAAAGTAATGTTATATTAACACTGAGCTACTAAACTAATGTCATATTAACACTGAGCTATTAAAGTAATGATATATTAACACTGAGCTATTAAACTAATGTTATATTAACACTGAGCTATTAAACTAATGATATATTAACACTGAGCTATTAAACTAATGTTATATTAACACTGAGCTATTAAACTAATGTTATATTAACACTGAGCTATTAAACTAATGTTATATTAACACTGAGCTATTAAACTAATGTATATTAACACTGAGCTATTAAACTATATTACACTAACACTGAGCTATTAAACTAATGTTATATTAACACTGAGCTACTAAACTAATGTTATATTAACACTGAGCTATTAAACTAATATTACACTAACACTGAGCTATTAAACTAATGATATATTAACACTGAGCTATTAAACTAATGTTATATTAACACTGAGCTATTAAACTAATGATATATTAACACTGAGCTACTAATGTTATATTAACACTGAGCTATTAAACTAATGATATATTAACACTGAGCTATTAAACTAATATTACACTAACACTGAGCTATTAAACTAATATTACACTAACACTGAGCTATTAAACTAATGTTATATTAACACTGAGCTATTAAACTAATGATATATTAACACTGAGCTATTAAACTAATGTTATATTAACACTGAGCTATTAAACTAATGATATATTAACACTGAGCTATTAAACTAATATTACACTAACACTGAGCTATTAAACTAATATTACACTAACACTGAGCTATTAAACTAATATTACACTAACACTGAGCTACTAAACTAATATTACACTAACACTGAGCTATTAAACTAATGTTATATTAACACTGAGCTATTAAAGTAATGATATATTAACACTGAGCTATTAAAGTAATGTTATATTAACACTGAGCTACTAAACTAATGATATATTAACACTGAGCTATTAAACTAATGATATATTAACTGAACCAACACTGAACCAAACTGAGCTAAAATGCAGCCACATTACGGTAAAACTGAGCAGAGTTGGTTTAAGGAGAGCCTGGTCACTTCCTGTTTCTCCCACTATATCAAAAACACGACTGCAAAACTAGAGGGCGCTCGCCTGCAAGTCCTCAATGAATAAACAAACATTACTGCTACTGAGCGCTGATTGGTTAGAAACGCTGCCACTGAGCGCTGACTGGTTAGCACTACTACTACTGAGAGCTGATTGGTTAACATTACTGCTACTGAGCGCTCAATGGTTAGCAATGCTGCTACTGAGTGCTGATTGGTTAGCACTACTGCTACTTAGTGCTGATTGGTTAGCGTTACTGTTCTGTGTTCAGGATATGAGTGTTTATATTATATTAAAAATGTTTAAGCACTTATAAACTTTGCTCAACTGCTCCATCTTAACCCATTCAGCTTGGACTCACTCAGGAGCGCCTTCTAGCGTTGAGAAACCGGAGAACGTCACAGAGCGGTAATCCTCCTCTTTACATATTCTCTGGTAACACTAAGATAACATCACAGAAACATCAGAAGCAACGTTACTCACCATTTTTGGGTCGAGGTTTTCAGCATCCTGCGGGTGGAAAACGTTCATCAGAGCTTCAGTGCTGACGGCCGGCTGTGTCTGACCAACCATCACGTCCTCCTCATCATCACACAGAGGCAGCTGCACAAACAGACGGTCAGTGTTTCAGTTTTTATATCATCTGCTCATCAGGTCTGTATTCTTCTGTGCTTCTCACACTGGATCATATTCATCAAAGCTGTGTGGTCAAATCTGACTGTGAATTAAGTGTTTCACAAATTTTACCCACAGTTTTCTTATTCTTCAGTTTCATCTTTGGCGTATCTGTACGATCAAGATCATCAGATTTGAGTGTAAATGTTTAACAACCTAAAAAATGCCTGATTTGCAGTTAACTAACCAAAACTACTATCAATAATTTCATCAATAATATCAATAATACGAATAAAAGTAGAAGTTTGAGCACATTTGTGATGTACCTTTTTTACATGCACATTAATATAAACAAACGCTGCGACTATTCCATGTTCTATTTGAGGATATTACACTGTGCTTTTGTTTTATACTACTGACTCCGCCCACAAAATAAACAAATCAAAACACAGCTAGTGTCACACACTGCAATAACACAGCGTTTAAATATGATATTTTACTCTACAAAATCACATCATTCAACTGTCTTAAAAGCAGTAAGTTGTTTTGCTTATTTTACATTTTATTCTTTCCAATGGTTGTAATTTTAACACTATAAAGTTTGGTCAGTAGGGGGAGCAGTGCACTCACCGCTCCACCTCAAACTCCACCTACCAGCCCAGCCACTGGCTCACGAGGCACTGAATGCTGTCGTTTTATTGGCTCCCTACTGAAACATCTAAATGAAATAGGGCATATTTTATGTAAATGATATGTAAATGAGGAACTGGTTGGCATGGCGCTTGATTTCATGCACCGAAGCTGATTCATCATTTATGAGTTTAATGAATCAGATGCAGACAGGGCTGCCGACTCTCACGCACTGGCCGTGAGAATCATGCATTTAGGTCTAATCTCACGCTCTCACGCCACACATGCATTTTTACATTTCTCCTATCATTACTGTTGCTATGGATATGGCCGGTATCCATAACAACAGTAAACCGATGAACAACGTCTGTGGAAGATGAATCACAGGTGAGGTGCAAACTCAACATAATGCACCTGTATTTCCACCCCAGCTGTACTGTGTGTGAGTGTGTGTGTGTGTATGTGTGAATGATTAAAGGTGAACCAGGTGGGCGGAGCAGAAGCAGGAAGTTACCTGAGCGCTGGCGGAGTGCTGAGGGCTCGACGATGCAGAGCACTTCCTCCGGATGGTCGCAGCCAAACGGTCAAAATCACGAACCTCAGAAAACCGGAAAGCTCTTTTCCCCCGAACACCCACACTCAGCGCACGACTGCTGCGGTCAGGCAGCTCCACGCTGACCACCTAACTCACACACACACAGACATACACAAACACACACACAGACACAGATATGCACAAAATTACACACACACACACAAAGAGCCAGAGACATACACAAACACACAAACACACAAAAACACACACAGACAGACAGGCAGACACAATCACACAGATCAGTGTCAATATTTATAACACACAGCGTATGAGTGCAAACCAATGTTTACAAACAAAAACAGTCACTCACTCAGTCAGTCAGTCTGCCAGTCACTCAGTCTGTCAGTCAGTCAGTCACTCAGTCACTCCCTCACTCAGTCAGTTAGGCTGTCAGTCACTCAGTCAGTCATTTAGTCAGTCAGTCAGTCAGTCACTCACCTCCCGTAAGGGAATGATGAGGTGGCACTGGCTGCCATCCTGGCTGGCGAAGCAGAGGTATCTCTCCGACACACAGATTTTGCCCAGCGTGTTGTAGTGGCTGAAGGGAACCCAGAGGAAACTCTCATAAACTTCACACAGGTTCTCCTCCTGTGGCAGACGGAAAAACGACCGGAATGCCTGATTCCTCGCATGCACCTCCAGAGCCCTGCAGAACAATGTGGAGCACAGCAAACCAGAGAGCAGCACTGTGAACCACTAATAAATCAGAGTAAAGCACAACATACAGAAGCACAAACAGTATAGTACAGTACAGTATGTAGTCCCTCTGAGTGATGTGTGGTATTGTGTAGTACAGTATGTAGTGCCTCTGAGTGATGTGTAGTATTGTGCAGTATTGTGTTGTACAGTATAGTACAGTATGTAGTACTTCTGAGTGATGTATAGTATTGTGCAGTATAGTATGTAGTACCTCTGAGTGATGTGTAGTATTGTGCAGTATTGTGTAGTATAGTATAGTATAGTATAGTATGTAGTCCCTCTAAGTGGGGCGTAGTACAGTACAGTATGTAGTCCCTCTGAGTGATGTGTATAGTATGTAGTCCCTCTAAGTGGGGCGTAGTATTGTGTAGTACAGTATAGTTCAGTATGTAGAACCTCTGAGTGATGTGTAGTATTGTGTAGTACAGTATAGTACAGTATGTAGTCCCTCTGAGTGGGGCATAGTATTGTGTAGTACAGTATAGTTCAGTATGTAGTCCCTCTGAGTGATGCGTAGTATTGTGTAGTACAGTATAGTTCAGTATGTAGTCCCTCTGAGTGATGCGTAGTATTGTGTAGTACAGTATAGTACAGTATGTAGTCCCTCTGAGTGATGTACAGTATTGTGTAGTACAGTATTGTTCAGTATGTAGCACCTCTGAGTGATGTGCAGTATTGTCTAGTACAATATAGTTCAGTATGTAGTCCCTCTGAGTGATGTGCAGTATTGTGTAGCACAGTATAGTACAGTATGTAGCACCTCTGAGTGATGTGCAGTATTGTCTAGTACAATATAGTTCAGTATGTAGCACCTCTGAGTGATGTGCAGTATTGTGTAGTACAGTATAGTTCAGTATGTAGTCCCTCTGAGTGATGTACAGTATTGTGTAGTACAGTATTGTTCAGTATGTAGCACCTCTGAGTGATGTGTAGTATTGTGTATTACGGTATAGTACAGTATGTAGCACCTCTGAGTGATGTGCAGTATTGTGTAGTACAGTATAGTTCAGTATGTAGTCCCCCTGAGTGATGTGCAGTATTGTGTAGTACAGTATAGTTCAGTATGTAGCACCTCTGAGTGATGTGCAGTATTGTGTATTACGGTATAGTACAGTATGTAGCACCTCTGAGTGATGTGCAGTATTGTGTAGTACAGTATAGTTCAGTATGTAGTCCCTCTGAGTGATGTGCAGTATTGTGTAGTACAGTATAGTTCAGTATGTAGTCCCTCTGAGTGATGTGCAGTATTGTGTAGTACAGTATAGTTCAGTATGTAGTCCCTCTGAGTGATGTGCAGTATTGTGTAGTACAGTATAGTACAGTATGTAGGACCTCTGAGTGATGTGCAGTATTGTGTAGTACAGTATAGTTCAGTATGTAGCACCTCTGAGTGATGTGCAGTATTGTGTAGTACAGTATAGTTCAGTATGTAGCACCTCTGAGTGATGTGCAGTATTGTGTAGTACAGTATAGTTCAGTATGTAGCACCTCTGAGTGATGTGCAGCGGGTCAGACAGCGGGTGGTCCGTGCTGAAGGTTTCTTTGTCAAAGAGCCGCGTGATGGCGTAGTCGGCGAGCTGCTGCATGAGCAGGTAGGTTTGCTGGAGCCGCAGGAACATGGAGAAGAAATGATCCTCACCGCGCACACATACACGGATACTCTCCGCCAGCAGCACGCTGGACGTACGCTCCAAACGGCTCACCTCATCCCACGAAAACACCAGCTTCACTGAGAGGAAACACAGCACGATGACACTGCGATTAAAGAGCAACGCTAACGACCTTTAGCTCCGCCTCCCTTCTCCACTCTCCTGCAGGGATTTGGGTTAACAGCTGCTGACCACTGCTATACAATCATGGTTACGTTAATATTGAAACAGTGTCTGATCAGCCATTACATCAGCTATCGCTAACGAGCTACAGCTTAGCTACAATCAGTAGCTACATTAGGAAAACAGCAGCATTATCAACTTATCTAACGTTGCATAACGAAGCGGTTTTAGGCAGTTTAAACTAGTTTAAACTAGCTGTGCGCCTCACCCTCGTTGCCCAGCAGGTAAGAGTAGAAGCAGATGAAGTTGGTGCTGAGGTAGATCCAGCCCTGGTTTGGAACTCGTCCTCTCCAGTAGCTGCAGGAGAAATACGTCACCAGCTTCTCTCGCTTCGGCAAACCGAACAGACGCTCGAACCGCAACACGGCCTCCCGAAAGCGCTCAGGGTCTTCATCATCACCACCGCTCGATTTCCCCTCCTCCGCTATCAGACCCTACACACACACACACACACACGCTATCATGTAAGATTCAATGTTTATTAAATAATTATTACACATTCACTGAGCTCAACACAGAGCAATAAACAGTCTACACTGACCGCTTCACTGCAGCAGGACAGTTAAAGAGCTCTGAGCTTTAAAATTCAATACTTTAATGTTAAAATGAATCACTTTATTAACACAGAGTAACCAGATTCCACATCATTCAACATCAAATTTCAAAATAGTCGGTCTGATCAGCGTCAGGGAGCCAATAAGCCCGCTTGTTCCAAAATCTAGATATCTGATTGGCTGTCTAAATTACACATAAATTATACATCTGTTTAAGTTTCAGGCCTCTGCAGTCTGTAAATACACCAACTCCCAGCACTGAAACCACGCCCACTCCGTTTTAATGTAGAAAAGGAATAAAAAGGAATCAGTATCAAAGTCAAGGTTTTGTACTGTATCAGTATCAAAAAATCTAAATGACACTTTGGAGAAAAAACAACAACATTTTGTTATGATAAAATAATAATATAAATAAGGAAATAATAATTAAAGCAATAAATGATGCCAAAAAGCCCTGAGCCTTTTCCCAGATAGAAGGATTATTATTATTATTATTATTAGTAGTAGTAGTAGTAGTAGTATTGTTGTTGTTGTTGTTATGCTAATAATTATTATCGTATTACATTATTTACTTTTTATTATTAACATTAATTTAATAATATCGTGTGTCTCACTCGAATCTTGCCCTGGACGAAGCTAGTGATGTCATCATCAGAGTCGAACACAGAGAGTGTTCTCATCACATTGACCTGCAGCCAATCCCAGTGCTGAGAGATCTCCTCCAGAGACGCACCTGCACACACGATCGCACACACACACACACACACACACACACACACACAGAAACGCACAAATAGTATATTATACTATAATAATATACACACACACGTACTTAAATACATACATATATATATACATATATATATACACACATATATATATATGTGTGAAGCATGTTCTAAGGCCGATTCAGATGGGATTAATTGTGCGTGCGGTTCTGTGGTCGGTTCCTCTTTCACAGCTGCTGCTGTGTGATTTTATTTCCGTCTGGATCAGATGTCAGTGTCTCTCTCCTCCTCTGAGAAAATTACAGGCTGAATCATCTTCTGTTTTTCACTGAACTCCACGCTGCTCTGATCAGTTTAGTCCTCCTCCAGTTCACCCTCTCACCCCCCCTTAAACCCCTTCTCAACCCCCCCCCTCACTCCCCCATCCCCCCACCACCCCTCACCCCCCCATCCCCCCACCACCCCTCACCCCCCCTCCACCCCTCACCCCCCACTCACCACCCCTCACCCCCCTCACCACAGGCGATGCTCCAGTACACCTGTGAATCAGGTGTTTGGTGTAAGATTCTGTATGGAGCCACTTTAGCTGTGGAGTCCAGCACTGTGTCCAGAGTCCCGACCAGGAGACCTAAACAAACGCACACAAACAGACACACACACACACACACAGTCTTTTACAGTCAATGATAAGAGGTAACAGCACCACTAACATTAACGGAACAGTACACTGACAGTAAAACTGCAACGCAAAACATGAACAATACCGGTAATTACAGTAACGTTAACGTTAGTGGCAACAGTGGTAGTAAAAGGCACAGGTGGAAATGGCAACGGCAACAGTAATGCTAATGCTATCAGTAACACTGATAATAACGCTATCAATGACAGTAACTGTATCAATAATGTTATCAATAACAGTAAAGGCAACCAGAAGGGTCAAGTTATCAGTAACAGTAATGGTAATGGTAATGTTATCAGTAACAGTACAAGTAACAGTAATGTTACCAGCAAAAATAAAGGTAATGTGTGGTCTGGAAACAGTAACAGTTTATCATAATGTCATCAGTATAACGGCAAAGTAACGGTAACAATATCAGTAACAGTAATATTATCAGTAATAATAACAATAATGTAATGGTAACGATATCAGTAACAGTGATAGTAACTGTAATTGTAGTTTATCACTAACGGTAATGTCATCAGTAACACTAACAGTAATGCAACAGAAACAGTTCTCAGTAACAGTGACAATATTGTTAACAGTAATGTTAGGTAACTGTTACAGTATCAGTAACAGTAATGTTAGGGTAACCACAACAGTATCAGTATCATTAATGTCAAGGTGACTGTTACAGTATCGGTTATAGTTAACCGTTACAGTGTCAGTAACAGTAATGTTAAGGTATCCATAACAGTGTTGGTAACAGTAACGGTAATGTAACTGTAACAGTATCCGTAACAGTAGCGCTAAGCTAACTGTAACAGTAACGTTAAGGTAACTGTAATAGTATCTGCAACAGTAACGTTAAGGTAACTATAATAGTAACATAACAGTAATGTTATGATAACAGTAATTTTACAGTAACAGTAATACGGCAGTAACAGTAACAGTGTAATGTTATGGTAACAGTAATAGTAATTTTACAGTAACAGTAATACTGCAGTAACAGTAACAGTGTAATGTTATGATAACAGTAACAGTGTAATGTTATGGTAACAGTAACAGTGTAATGTTACGGTAACAGTAATACTTCAGTAACAGCAACAGTGTAATGTTATGATAACAGTAACAGTGTAATGTTATGGTAACAGTACCAGTGTAATGTTATGGTCACAGTAATAGTGTAATGTTATGGTAGCAGTAACAGTGTAATGTTACGGTAACAGTAACAGTGTAATGTTATGGTAACAGTAACAGTGTAATGTTACGGTAACAGTAATACTTCAGTAACAGTACCAGTGTAATGTTATGGTAACAGTACCAGTGTAATGTTATGGTAGCAGTAACAGTGTAATGTTACGGTAACAGTAATACTTCAGTAACAGTACCAGTGTAATGTTATGGTAACAGTAACAGTGTAATGTTATGGTAGCAGTAACAGTGTAATGTTACGGTAACAGTAATACTTCAGTAACAGTACCAGTGTAATGTTATAGTAACAGTACCAGTGTAATGTTATGGTCACAGTACCAGTGTAATGTTACGGTAACAGTAACAGTGTAATGTTATGGTAACAGTAATACTTCAGTAACAGTACCAGTGTAATGTTATGGTCACAGTCCCAGTGTAATGTTATGGTAACAGTCCCAGTGTAATGTTATGGTCACAGTACCAGTGTAATGTTATGGTAACAGTCCCAGTGTAATGTTATGGTAACAGTCCCAGTGTAATGTTACGGTACCTGTTGACTGTTAGCTAAACTGAACTGAACTCAGTGAGCATCTGAAGGTGGTAACTGCGCTGTTGACACCGTTACTGTGTGGGTCCCTCATATAAACCAGTTATATCCCCGTTACCGTTTCCCGTTTCTCGTTCACCCACCCGCGATGCCTCCGCCGCCCTCCCCGTAGCCGCGCCGCCGCTGCAGCAGGAAGTACCGGTTGGACCTCTCGGTGACCCACAGCTTCAGCGCGCTCTTCAGCAGCACCTCCTCCGGCCTGAGCCACATGCTGACCCGCCAGGTCCGGTAGATCCTCCAGAGCTCGCGGTTCCTCCGGTTCCTCCGGTTCCTCCGCCGCTCTCCCGCATCACCCTCCGGCCCTGCGCGCTCCGCACACACGTCGACACAAACCGAGCCAACAGCACAGAAATAAACAGCGCTGGGATCTGTAGTCTCAGAGACCCGCGCGCCGGCGCACAGTCAGCACCACGCTGCACACGCGCAAACTACAGCTCCCACAATCCTGCGCGATGCCACGTTCACCTCTGCTCAGTTAAAGGGCCAGTCCCCGTCACATGGGCTCGGCCAGCGTAAACAGAGGAGGTTTGGTCATCGTTGGTGATGAAGTTCAGTAGGAAAAGGTCTGAATAGCCTGTTACGGTGCTGAACTGAATTATCGATTAGATAATGTACTTTTAAATCAGTCATCTGTACCGCGACAGTATCACAGTCTGCACTTTAACCTCGTTTCAGAGACTGAAGCTCAGAGTGCAAACACGCTGTCCACTCACTGTCCACTCTCTGTCCACTGTCAGACTGCTAGATTGGATTGGATTAGATTAACTTTATTGTCCCACCAGGGTAAATTTTTCTTGGGCTACCTAAGACTGCATGCCATCAAAGAACCACCGGACATACAGCTTCACACCCTGACTAATAACATTGATAACATTGATAACATGGAGAAAAAACACACATTGCTCACCTAATGGACTTAAGAACCGTAATGGATGTAGGTACAAAATTATTTCTAATCCTATTTAATCTACACATTGACAGTTTAAGGTCCAGTCCCATTTCACCCCTCGCCCCTCCCACTCAGCCCTACCCCTCTGTTTTGCGAGTTCTCGTCTAGGGGTAGGGTGTCCTGATCCTTGTTGAGACAGAGGGGTAGGGTGAAGTGTTGGGGCTACATGGCCCTCCAAACGGAGGTTTCTCAGAGACTCCAAACGGAGTGATATGAGAGAAAAGGAAAAAACAACGACCCAAAAACCCACCAATGTGAGAATTTTCTCAGTTAAAAAATTACAAAAACCACTGTATTTTCTTAGTTTAATGCCATTTCAGTGTATTAAGGTCGTTTTCTTCATAACAAGCATAAATAAATCGCTAATAGTAGCTGATGTCTCGGTAGCTAGCTGGCTGAATTTCCCATTCCACCTTAAATGAACCTTGAATTTAAGGTGGAACAAGAAAATCTGAACAAGCTGGTGAGTATATAACTTCAGCTTCATATCACTGAAGAATTAGGGGTGGGTGATAATAAATAATTGCCCCCTCTTTGAAGGTGTATGATGCCCTAAATGTAACTAAAGCCCAGCAGTGAGGAGCTGAACTTTACCCTCCTCTGCTGTCACTGCAGACTGGCAGGGTCGCCTACAGAGCAGCGCTGGTAGCTGTTAATGAAGTGATGCTCTTTTTATTTGAGGGTCCCATTTCAGAGGGAAGATTTCAACTTTCAGCAAAATTGTCAAGGGGTGACACTTTAAATCAAGGGGTAAAAATAAGAAATGGAACTGGGCCTTTATCCCCTGTCTGATGGAAGAAGCACATGAACCTGATCACACATTATTCTTCTTGCCAGTCTAATGACAGACTGCTCATAGACCACTGGGGTGGCCAGCAGACTAGCTGTAAGAGCAGTGAGGCATCAACCTGAAGGTTGCAGAGAGAGAAATCCCACTGCAGACTAGGTATACCTGGGGTTCAAGA